ATTTGAGCATGCATCATATTGCTTTTCTGCCTTTCAGCTTTTATTATTTGAGTATGACCACTGTCACTACAGTAGCACTTCTTCAATGTTATTGATTTATTAAAGAGAAAAACCCATCCATGTGAAATGATGGTGATTAATAGATAATATTTTTAAAGGCACTTACTTTTGAAGACTTTCCCTTGTATTATCCTTTTTATATCCTTACAATGATCCTGTGCAGCAGGTACTATTAATATCCTGATTTATCAGTATATGAAACTGAGGCACAGAAAGGTTAAAGTTGTTCAGTTGCACAGAGAGTGGCAGAGGATGGATTTAAGAACCTAGAAAGTTAGAATTAGGATCCAGGAAGCCATTTTCCAGTCTGTTGCTAATGAGTGGGCAAACTTAAGCAATTTCACATCTCTGGGTCTCGTTTTTTCATGTTTCCAATAAAAAGAGTTGACTAGGGGAGTCTCCTGCTGTAAAACTCTATAAATCTCTGCATCATTAAATAACTACATTTAAATCACCTCATGCATTATGCGAAAGAACTGTGAGATATTAGAAAGGCTACAAGGTTTGGTGTGACGCAAACTGTGATGTCTGGTAAGTCTCTTAACCTTAATGAACCTGTTCCTTGCGTGTAACTGTCAGTAATACCCATTTCAGAAATTTGTTGTCACGTCTAATTGAGATAATATATTTTGGAGTTCTTTGCTAATTTTAAAGAACAATATAAATAAAAGAAATTGTCACCATGTAAAAGACACTACTCATCCATTCTTTTATCGAGCCACCCATCCATTCATCCATTAAATATTTATTAAATGCCATTCACAAGGGTAGAGAGCAGGGTTACCTCCCTATAAGGAGCTCATAGTCTAAGTTGGAGATATGAGAGGGACCATATTGACAAGGAAATTGGACACCATGTTATGGAGGTGAGATTTTAACCTGTAGGAGGGGGGAATCCATGGAAGGATTTTTAAGGAGAAAAATGTGACTAAATTTGTACTAAAGCTATTAGTCTAGCAGGGCTGTGGGGAGATGGAGTGGAGGGAATGAGACAAGAGACAAAATTGGTGGCAGTAGCACACTTCTCCTCATCACCATTTGAGATGTCAAGCAGTGTTTGGCGGTAAGTAGTCCCGAAACTGCAGCCACGAGAGACCCCTGAGTCTGCATGGATACTGAGGTGGGAAGAGAAAGGGACAATAGGGACAAGAGTCTGTCAGTTATGCTGGCAAGGCTTACTCAGAGATGGCCGAAATCGTGTTGTTATTGGGGATTCGCTCCCACATACTCTACACTCCACTGTCCTGTGCTAAGCTAGTACCCAGGGAAGCACCAGAGGTACTAAAAATATGATAGGTGGATACATAAACTTGATCTTACTTTGATCATTACATTCAGTGTGGCTTCCCTTAAAAGCCAATCTCCAGCAGAACTAACAAACATCAAACTATAGAAAAATGGTTATGTTTGTGTTATTCCTTTGTTCTTTTGTTTTCTGGTAGAAGTGTCAGAAGGTGGGAAAGCCAGAGGCCTAGATAAGCCAATAATTCTTCAATTAATTCCTAATCCTCCCCTTCCACTGACCATAGTAAATAAAAACAGATATCCAGGGATATAACATACATACATCTTTCCAAATATATAGATACATATGCACACATCTTTCCACGTATATGAATCAAAATACTTGTTCTCAAAATTTATATTAGTAAATGCAGAATATCATAGACTATAATAAAGTTGCCAACTCTAAAACCAGGTTGTTTGGTTTTAAATCTTGGCTAATCTTCTTACAGGCTTTGCGACGCTGGATAAGTCATCTACTTCTCTGTGCTTCAGTTTTTTTAACTATAAAATGGAGAACATTGTGTTCCTGTCAGTTAAAAGTGTTTTAAGGGTTCCATGAATATAAAGGACTCAGAACAAGGTTTGGACCATTGGAAGAGCCTAAATAGTGTTAATTTTTATTAATTGTATTAACCATGATGACTATTCATGCTGCTAAGGAGGCAAATGTGCCTCCTCATGGGCCTTTCTAAAGTGAGGTATCAAATTTAAATGTAAGGCAAGCAAGAAGTTTGCCCTTAACTCAGCACAGAGACAAACAGAGTCAGAGAATGGGGAGACAGAAACTTAGTACAGGGAGGGAGGTCCAGTTGCTTTTAGAGTCACCTTGTTAATTACTGCTTCTGCATCTCAGACCTTTGCAAACCACTCTTCCCTAGCAGAACTAACTTTGGAGTTGTCTGTTCCTGTTCCCCATCGTCTCCCTGAGCCTGAACCTGAACCCCTGTGACTTACAGATGTACCTGCACGAACTTTCTGCTTTCCAAGTGTCAGAATTTCTGAGTGCTCACCATTGGCTAAATGCCTTGGCACAGGACGTATCTGAGTGGCCTATAAATAGAGCTGTGTCTGGGTTGACGCCAATTCCTGCTGCACCAGAAATACTTAATAATCTCCTTGCAAGTGCTTTCAAACTGACTTCCTAGTAGAGCAGCAGTAATCAGTACCATTACATCCTAACTTTACTCAAGATTGCTAAGTCTTTGAACTTGGGCTGGTTTTATTAAAATTATGAATTACTAGGAGTGCCTGGGTGGCTCAGTCGGTGAAACGTCTGACTTCAGCTCATATCATGATCTCATGGTTCGTGAGTTTGAGCCCCACACTGGGCTGGAGCCTGCTTCCGATTCTGTGTCCCCCTCCCTCTCTGCTCCTCCCCTGCTCATGCTCTTTCTCTCTCTCAAAATAAACATTAAAAAAACCCCGTGAATTATTATATGGATGCAGTAGGGATTCCCTCTACTTAATTCATAAAAAAACAAAAAGAAGCAATGGAATAAACTGCCTGGTAAATTTGATTTTTAAAAAATTGAAAAATTACTTACCACAGAAAAGAAGTGTAGATATTAGCTAGTGCTATGTTGGTTATCATTTTGCAATACGTAAATGTATAAACCAACATGTTGTACACCTTAAATGAAACTTATGCAATGCTATATGTCAATTATATCTCAATAAGGCTGGAAGAAAAAAACTTAAAAAAAACAATGTCAAAAATCACAGGCAATATTAAAGTGTAGATGACAAATTTGGAAAACTTTATGAGTTATGATGACTGTGTAATTAATTTCTTAAGGTGGAAATAAGGTGTAAAAGTCAATAAAGAAAATACTGAAAATGGAGCAAACATAAGAAATTCATGGCAGACATAATTAAAATCAATAAACATGACAAATTTTCAACTTCACTAGTGATCATAACAAACATAGATAATGTTACTCTTTTTTTTTTGCCTATGAAATTGGTAATGATTGGGCTGCCTGGGTGGCTCAGTTGGTTAAGCGTCCGACTTCAGCTCAGGTCATGACCTCATAGCTTGTGAGTTCGAGCCCTGAATGGGGCTCTGGTGCTGACAGCTCAGAGCCTGGAGCCTGCTTCAGATTCTGTGTCTACCTCGCTCTATGCCCCTCTCCCACTCATGCTCTGTCTCTCTCTCTGTCTCTCCAAATAAATAAATGTTAAAAAAATAAACAAAAAGAAAAGAAATTGGTGATGATTAAAACAGGTAATCATGACAAAGCTATCATAAAAGTTATCTCTTACATTGTCTAAATAGTACAATACTTCAGGAACAGAATCTGACCATATGTTAGCAAGGGCTAGGCAAAGGTCTTAGAAGAATCCATACATTTGATTCAGTGATTTCAGTTCTAGAAATCTCCTTTATTGAATTAGGGGTTAATAAAAAGATTTTTGTACAAAGATGTTTACTACAGTCTTGGTTATAATAACAAATAAAGCCAGTGACATCAACAACAATGAAATAGTAAAATAAGACAAAAATAAAAGAACCTGTAAATGACTATTTTTAATGAGTTGAAGGTGGAGAATGATCCCACAAATTATGTTGCACTCCTATGGTAGAATTATTACCCACCATATTTTTATTTTTTATTGTTATTTTTTTTACAAATAGTTTATTGTCAAGTTGGTTTCCATATAACACCCAGTGCTCACCCCCACAAGTGCCCTCCTCCATGCCCATCACTCCTCCTCCCCCCCACACCCATCAGTCTTCAGTTTGTTCTCAGCATTCAAGAGTCTCTCATGGTTTGCCTCTCTCCCTCTCCCCCTCTATTTACCCCCTTCTTCTCCCCCATGGTCCTCCGTTAAGTTCCTCCTAATCCTCCTATACGTGCAAACATATGGTATTTGTCTTTCTCTGCCTGACTTATTTCTCTCAGCATAACACCCTCAAGGTCCATCCATGTTGCTACACATGGCCAGATTTCATTCTTTCTCATTGCCATGTAGTATTCCATCGTATAGATAAACCACATCTTCTTGATACATTCGTCAATTGATGGACACTTAGGCTCTTTCCATGTTTTAGCTATTGTAGAGAGTGCTGCTATGAACATTGGGGTACATGTGATCCTATGCATCAGCACTCTTATATCCCTTGGGTAAATTCCTAGCAGTGCTATTGGTGGATCATAGGGAAGTTCTATTGTTCGTTTTTGAGGAACCTCCACACTGTTTTGCAGAGGGGCTGCACCAGTTTACATTCCCACCAACAGTGTAGGAGGGTGCCCGTTTCTCCACATCCTCACCAGCATCTAGAGTCCTCTGATTTACTCATTTTAGCCACTCTGACTGGCATGAGGTATCCACCATATTTTTAAAAAGTTTTTATTTAAATTCCAATTGGTTAATACACAGTGTGATATTAATTTCAGGTGTACAATTTAGTGAGTCAACCCTTCCATATAACACGTGGGGCTCATCACAAGTGCCTCCTTATCCCCATCACCTGTTTAAACCCCCTCCATACCTCCCTTCTGGTAACCATCAATTTGTTCTCTATAGTTAAAGTGTTTCTTCGTTTGCCTCTCTCTCTTTTTTTTCCCCTTTGCTCTTTTGCTTTGTTTATTAAATTCCACATATGGGTGAAATCATGTGGTATTTGTCTTTCTCTTTCTTTCTACCTACGCAAAAAGATGGAATGCTTCATGAATTTGTGTGTCATTCTTGTGCAGAGACCATGCTAATTTTCTCTGTATCATTCCAGTTTTAGTATATGTGCTGCTGAAATGAGTACTACCCAACATATTTTTAATGCATCCATTATTTTTTTTAATATTTTATTTATTTTTGAGAGAGAGAGACAGCATGAGCAGGGGAGGATCAGAGTGAGAGGGAGGCACAGAATCTGAAACAGGCTCCAGGCTCTGAGCTAGCTGTCAGCACAGAGCCCGATGCGGGGCTCAAACCCACGAACTGCGAGATCATGACCTGAGCCAAAGTCGGACGCTCAACTGACTGAGCCACCCAGGCGCCCCTTAATGCATCCATTATTAACCATGTTTGGAAATAATAATTTTTAATAACATGAAAACACATACATGTATCCATCATACTTCATTATATATATTATATATGATAGACATATCAAGCTGTTATTAACCATATTTTGGAAGAACTTTTATTAACTTAGGGATATATACATACATATGTCACAATATATGTAAATATGATAATACATAATTAAATCATAATAAATACTGCCTACATTTAAAAAAGTAAATCTACACATACACACAAACACATATACTGTAGTAAAAGACTGGAAGGAAATAAAACCTTAACTGCATGTAATTGCTGTTTGATGGAAATAAATTGGGCTAAAAGACACTTAAAATAGCGTGAACAGTCCTGCTTATCGAGATGTGATTTATGCAGCATTTTTGCATACTTCTCAAATTGAGGCTCACCACAATTCTGTGGATAAGTGCAAGCAGGTATTATTTCCCCTTTTTATAGAGAAAGGTGCTGAGGCTCAAGGAGGTGCTTGGTTTAATCAAGGTCAAAAGGCAGAACTGAAATATGAACATGGGTCATTTGACGCCATATCTGGAGCTGCTTTCACTAGAATAAGTTGGCTCTTTAAGATCATATGGCTAGAAAATCTATAACTATAGGGAGGCCAGGATATGGTGAGGACTTACAATTCTTAATAGTTTCGCAGCTGTTAATAAATAGGAAAAGTCAAGTGAGATTCTAAGTAGTAAATGCAGACGAAAGTTTCTGCAGGTTTAAAGAAAATTGTTTATTACTCACAGTATCTTTGCATACTGGCTAAGTAGAAGAGCCTTTTTCATGAGTCATCCCTGAGATTTTTGAGGGAAAGCAAATGGGTATTATCTCAGTTTCTACAAAAGGAGACAAACTCATAAATAAGAGAAGAATACACTTGAAACTCCCACACACTGAAACTGTGGATGAGAGTGAGGTAAATTTCACATTCCTGACTTCCGCATCATGAAGTGGTTTTGTACTTATACACCAAACAGGGTATGCTGCCGAGGGGTCCTCAAGGCTTGTTCACAGGTTGAGTATGAGCAAATGCATTGCTCCCTGAGATGCATACCTCTCTCCTTTAACTTAGTTCCCTTCATACTCCATGTTGTGTTCCCAATAAAAATGGAAGCATTCTTACTCAATAATTTTGGAATTGGGAAAAAGAATTGGAGTAACTTTATACTCATCAGGAAGCACAACATGTAACCTTTACTCCTCCTTCATTTGAAAAAAAAAACAACAAAACAAAAAACTATACTGTGGTTGGTACAGGAAGTCCCTGTGGGATATCTCCTGGGTGTCAATTATTTTTATCTCTCAAAATAGGTTTTATTTCATTTCCTCAATAAGAACTCATTTATATAATTTGCTCTTTCCTCTTAAAGTATAATCTATTTCATTGAAGCTCTAAAAGTTTTCCCTCAGCTATCTGTTCATCTGGCTAGAGTGCTTTGTCTTCTGAATTTTCTAAATATTTTTTTAACCCATCAAATCAGTTTGCATAGATAGACCAAATACTATGCTAATTTATTTTATGCTTGATTCTACCTTTGTGCTATGGCATATTGAACAAAGCATTCTGAACAAAGAAGATACTAGTAACTATTAATAGCTTATTGGGAAATATTATGACTCATCCATATTTAGAATACAGTCTAATGTCAGTATATTTTGGCAAACATTCTTTACATTACAAAAAAGGAATGCTTTTGTTAAGTTCTTTTTTCTTTTTCTTTTTTAAGTTCGGATGGCTCTTATCAACTTGGAAATCATAACATAATGCCTTGGAAGTAGGTATGTTCATCTCTGGTCACACCTTTGCTCGCCCTCTCATCCTCATGTCATATCATTTAACCCCCCATATTTGGACTCCTAACAAATGAGAACAACTTATTGGTGGGGTCAGATTACCACACATAAAAATATGCTAGGTGATAAAGGGATAACAAAAACATATACTCAAGACCGTAGAGTAAGACCAGTGTTTGTGTCTGGAGAATGTAGGTGTATTAGTTTAGCATTTGAACAGTTCTGGGGCTTTAATAGGCTCATAATATACTTAGGAAAGGAAACTAAATATACTCATCTAAATTCAAATAGCAATATAGACCAAACAGTAATCAAGGCAGTGTAAAGCATGTCAATATATGTTCTGGAGGGGAGCTAGGTTTAGATTGGGAGAAATTGCCGTATTGTGGAGTCATCACGAAAGTTCTCATGGAAGGTTGGTAAGAATGACTGCAATATGGTGTGTAATAACATCAACTTTAGATCAAGACAGGCCTGGTTTTGAATTCTGGCTTTGTGATCTTGAGCAAGTTATTTTACCTCTCTGAGTTTTGGTTGTCTTCCGTTAAACTGACTTAATAAGACTTACCTTATAGATGTGTTGGAAGAATTCAATAAAATGAAATATGTAAAGCATTCAGCTTAGTTCCTGGTACACAGTAAATGCTGAGCAATGGTAGCTGTTATTAATTAAATTGAAGCTTGAATGACAGGTTGTATTTCCACAGGGAGCTGTGATTGAGGGAGGAGGAGAGACAGGACAGAAAAATAAAGGCAGAAGATCTTGCTGGTGGGGCAAAGGCATGAATAAGGGTGAGAAGCCCTAAATATGCAGATACATGTAGGAAGAGTATAAATGGACCACAATGAAGATTTTGGGGGGTGGGGGGTCAAGGGTGTTACACCACTTGTATTGAACAGAGGGAGTTTGCTTCAGGTCACAAATCATTTGACCTTAGCAGGTGGCTTGGCATCTTCCTGTTGGATGCGGAGATGCTATTTTTTTGGCAAGATAAACATCCTGTATTTATTTGGTTACTTGCTTCACAGCACCGTGGAGTGTCTTACACATTATATAGTTCTTTTGTGACACACCTGTGAGGTAGGAAGAGCTGTGGATAAAAATGCCTGGCATGAACTGAATGGCCCACAGCAGGTGATTGTGCTGTGGAGATAGGCCTGGCTCTAGGTTTTCTTCTTCCCAGAGCCTCCCTGTTAAAGCCCATTTGGCCAATCATGGCTTTTCTCATTACACATCTGCTCTGGGAGAGAGAGCACCGAGCACTGTCAGAACTTAAGCAAGAGGCTTCCAAGTTTTCTGCAAATGACTCATGGAAATAGTTTTGCTTTACATATATAGAATATAGATCTGTAATTACGAAAGCACTTGCACATAATTTCCACAATAGCATGGTATCAATAAGCAGGTGCTTCCTGTGTTTACAAAAAGGCTCATCCCACTTCTGAAATGTTTATTTTTGTATTGTCTTTCATGTGCAACTTGCGCTTTTCTTTGGACAGATCATAGCTGTTTCTCCTTTTCCTCTGATGAATGACTAGGTGATCAGACATGGCAAACATCTTATGAAGCCATGTAAACTTTGGAGAACATTTGTATTCACCAAAGTCACAAATCTAAGGCAAAAATGACCTTACTGGATTTTCCTCATTGTTTCATGAGCAGTGAAAGGCGAACACTGGTGACGGAAGTGCTCTCATGCAGGATTATGGAGGTGAAGGATTTGCCTGGCAAGGATGCTCAGGAATCATCTAAGTGATGTTTTATTTTTGCAGAAGAGACCAGCAGCCAAGAATTTAAGAACGTGATTCTCAACCTTGGCTGCTATTGGCATCATCTGTGGAGATTTGAAAACAACTTCTCTCTCGGCTCCATTTCCAGAGTCTCTAATATAATGGGTTTGGTGTGTGGTTAGAACACCTAGAGTTTTAAAACCACTTCCTGCGCTTGTGATCTTCTGTGCAGCCCCCAAATTGAAAATCATTTCATTCCAAGCCACTTGTACTAATGAACTAATATGCTCTTTATAAGGTATGTCAATATGAGCAACCAACACTTGTCAGTGGGAGCCCAAACTGCTCAATCTGAAGTGATTTCCTGGAGCCTCCAAACTTTCCTCTGCAGAGTCTTTTGTTCATCTTTCTATTTGCATCCCTTTCACAGCCATGAACTTGGTCCATCATCACTAAATTAGCAAAACCAAGTTGTCAGAAAAGGTGGCACAGAAGGCCTCACTCTCAGGTGTAGCTGATGAATCTATAATACCTATCCTAGATGTATTTGTATTTTAACCCAAAACAAAGGCCCTGCTAGAAAAAAGCCTTCATGGTAACCTTGAAATAATGACTCACTTACTGTTACTTACTGTCTGTGAAGAGACCATCAGATTTTCCCTATGAAGTCTGAGCCTGATCATCCAGGAGAGCTTCACCGTCTCTAGTTGCAAGGATATGCAAGCTCATCATGCCATCGCATCTGAGAACGAATGGACTGTCATTTCAGTTACAAAGACTAGGATTCTTTCTTCCCAGTTGGGATGTTTTCTCCCTACTCCCAATCATTTTGTAAATAGGAGAGAGCGTGAAATCAGAGTGCTTTTCCTGGAACAAAACTGAAGGATGCTTGGCTGCGCCTGACCAAAATGTACCTCTTCGTAGGGTATGAAAATCTGGAAAACAGCATGAATTCTGCTAGCCCCATACCTGTAACTTAACCTGAGAAATCCGCTTTGTGCCTCCAATATGTGTTTCTAGTGTTTGTCTTTACCCCTTGCTCAATTCTGTCTTTCCATAAGGTTGCATTTAATTCCTTAGGCCGTTATGAATGCTATTTTGAGTACATATTTCTTCCATAAAGCCTCACAGAAGAAGTCTAGATACCAACTTATTCATTGATTAAAATCCCTACTGTCATTGTATTGTCTATTTTATTCT